CTCAAAAAAGAAGAAAGAAGTTTGAATTCATATCTCTGGAAATGGATGGAAAAAAAAATAGAATTTTTAATTCCATGATATCAAACTTCATTTTGAATTTAATCTATTTGTTTTCCAGGAATTTTATTAAAAACGACTATCACATTCTAAAAGGATAAAAGGTTATGCATTTGTGCAGTGTAAATGAAAAGGGATCTAAGAATATTAGAAAACTTTCTTTTTTTTTCTTAAAAAATATTAAAATTGGAAGTCGGTATCACTCTTCGGTTCCGCTGCTTAATTTCCGACTAATTTTCATTTCAACCTAAGATATTAAAAGAAAACAAAAGCATTTCAATTTCTGCTGTTACAAATTCTCGTTTTTTACCATTAATTTACTGAGAGGCAAAAACGATCAATGAAATGTCCGATGATATTCAAGAAATTCTTTATCAAAACTCTGAGAACCCCATTTTCATTTATCAAGCACCTTACTAAGCAATTAAAAAAAAAAAAAAAAAAAAAAAAAAAAAAAAAAAAAAAAAAAGATTCTTTCCTGATAGTTAAACAAAAGTTTTATCTCAGAATAGAATGAATAAGAGCATTCCTTCTTATATATCATAATTATTCTGGATTTTATTATAAGACCATGCATTTTTCAATTGTTAATGATTTTCCATCTATTCTAATAAATACAGTTTTATAATTAATTGTAACCGCTATTTATCATTTATTCTAACCATGTTTATCGTCAAGAACATTCGTATTATATTTCAGCGAAATAAATGGAAATGTATTATTATATCAGGTTTCCTTGAGTACAATTTTATAGTTCACCAGAAAGACAAATCCTCCTCAGTAGTTTACGATGACTTTAGGTCATCATCAAACGTAAGTTTCTTTAAAGCACTTTTTTTTTTTTTTTTTAAATTAAGCAAAACAAGTTTTTGTTTAACGTGTTATTTTTAGGTGAATGTGCCTGAAGGCTGTAAATAACTACTTTTGACAATAACATATAAATGTCAAGACGAAAATAATATGTATTCCCAACTTTCGCAGACAAACTGAAAATAATTTTCGGGTACATGTTAATGTATATAAGGTATTTTTTCCTCCTCTCTGCATGCCTTCGTGATGTAACTGGAAGGACATTCGACGCGTGTTCGGGGGGTGCAGAGTTCGAATCACGGCGGCATATAAACAAACTGTACACTGGTAGCACAAGCGCTCGAAATTAGACAATAAAGGCCAGTCCACACGAGTACGCTCGAAACGTAGCTGACGAACGCTCTTTTACGGTACCAGCGTAAAAGAGTCCAAACGAGTACGCTTGCGAAGAGTGCGTTTAACCAATAGAATTATTTTGCGCAAAAATCACGTGACGCTGTAATATAGCGTCAACAAAGCTGTATCTTATTACTTCGCTGTTCTTCTGTATGTTTGCGGCAAGTTGTCCGAAACAGATGATTTTTTTTTTATAGCTGAAACTTTACTATTACGTGCAATTATTAAGCAGAGGCAAAACCGCAAAAAATGGCAAGAATGAGTCCGAAAGATTTATTTAGAGCGACCTGTTCAAAGAGATTTTTTTTTTTTTTTACTGCCTTGTTTGCGATAGGAATATCCGGAATTATTAAATTCCTACTATTAGCTCACACTCTCCCTATATCTTGTTGAAATTTTCAGTACATAAAATGCTTTTTATTCATCCACTTAAGTTCAAATACAATTTTTTAAACTTGTAGTGAATGACACTTGATGTTAATACAGCTTTTTCACATATTAAAATTTTTAAAATTTTTAATTTAAGAAAATTATGTTTGTATTTTTATTTATTTATTTATTTATTTTTGTATTTTTTAAATTTTTCTTTGTGGACCTAAGTAGGAATTGACTTAATTTTTTTTTTTTTTTTTTTTTTTTTTTTTTGGTATAATACTTGTTTTTTAATTACTTCAGGATGAGTATCGACCAGTTTGACAGACTTGCAGATTCTATATTGTATGAAAATTAGTATTTATAAAATTGGTTTGGAATACAGTTTATAAAGAGAATTAAATTACTTAATTCTCTTTATATACACCATCCACCATATAATAAAACCAACTTCATATTTTTTTAACTCCCCCTCCCTTGGCCTTTTGTTTTCCTTTTATTTATTTTTGAATTTATAATGAGGTTCAAACTTTGGACAGTTTATGAGAAATTATGTGCATGATATAATATGCAATAAAGTAAAAATAAAGAGAGAATTTATAGATGATATATGATAAAGAGATGCACATATATTATTACATAAGGATTTCTATTTACACTGCACATTTTTAAACTAAATTAAAAACAATAATAATAATGAATAAAATAAGAAATGAAAACAATAATAATAGGTAAAATAAGAATATAATGATTCATGATTAAATATAAGAAACACGTTTCAAAATGAGAAAAGCTAACTGAATTATATACCGTCTATGGGTGAGGTTCGAATTCGCCACCTCCGCCAGGAATCCTCCGCCAGCAATGCAGCGCGCTGACCACTCAGCTATCTGTAATAGCAGGGTTTGTGAAAAATAATGTAACAAGTAGAAGTCGCTGCAAAGGTAATTTAATTAAACTTCAATAAATGATTGCTGTATGACACAAGTTGTAACTTTCCTCCAAAATTTCGTAATTGTATTTTATTGAATACTCTTTCACAGTAACTGCTTTATTTTAGAAGTTGTTATATTGCTGAAGTTAGTTTTTGGTGTATTTAATATTGGGATATTTATAGAGCTTTTTATTACACATGATATAGCCAATATTTATAATAATTAAGGAGAATTTTGTAAGGCAGAAACTTTGATTTCGTAACTGCAATTTATTTAGGTTCCTATTACTTATGGTGTTATAAATAGGTGAAGCATATGGATATACTGGTTGGATCATTGCTTTATAAATATACAGTTTTCCCCTTTAATGAGAATTTTAAATGTATACCAATATGTACGGTTTGAGAAATCTGAAGATGGCGTGAACAATGCTAATTATTTTATTGCTGTATACAGTTATGCTATTTCTAAGCAAAAACTCATCTCTGTGTGGTTCTGACGCCATATTGAAACGGGTAAGCAAGAAGGTTTTCTGATTATGACACGTGATAAGAACTCGGTCGGCTATTGGCTATACGCGCGCGTCGCGGGCGAAAAAGCTGAACAGGAGCGTACTCAGTTTTACGTCTTCTGCGTCACGCGAATTTACGCTGGCGTCAAAAAAGTTACTTCAACTACGTCGGGAGCGTCCTCGTGTGGACGGGCCTTAAGAGTCAAAGAATGTGTAGATCGTAACCCCGTCCACCATTATGATGTCAAATTGCTGGAAGCAAGGCCTATGTGAGCTAAGTTTGACATCCAAAATTAAATATATCTTTCAATGAAAAAAGTACTGTATATGCTGTATAAAAATATGGTCACATGTACTGTATTCGGTTTATGCACATCCCATACCGTAAGAGCACTATCTCAATAACATCTCAGACAGTAGCAAAATGTAAACAAACTTCCAACCGTGTGACATCACCATTTTAGGCGGAGTTAACGGGGATGCCTTATTTTCACTCTCATTGTTTAACTCCGATTTGTTGTCCTAGCAGTGCACAGTTTGCTTATATGCATCCCGGCGAGAGCATTGCACATTTGGATATACCTTAATGACTTTAAAATCGTATGAATGACAGAGCAAAAGTAAAGCCTATTACTCTACACAATTAATTAATAAAGGGAAAAAGATTCACTTATAAAATATCTGAGAGTGTTCAATCGAAGGAACAAAATCAGTTTGATATGCCATACTAACATATGCTCGAGGAAAAAGAAGACACAAAATGCAGCCAGCGCATTCGCCGGGATTCAAACTCGAATCAAACTACTGATATTCTTCCCATTTAAAGAGACATGGCGAACTGCGAAATTCTATAAACTGTTTCCATTAAAATGCCAAAGATTTGTAACTTATTTCTTAAGTTTTAAAAAATAAGACCAGTTTCGCTATGTACAATACCGAATGATGAATTTAAATATTTTGTGCACAGCTGTGAAGAATTACTGTATACCACCGTGCTATCTCTCGTTGGTTTAAATGGTTAGCATATCTCCGTCTAAGTGGTTAGCAACTAGAAAACGAGTGATTCGAATCCCGCTGTAGGCACAGTGGCTTTTTCATACTTCTTATTTCGGAAATAGCCTAATGGTCTCTGTATTGGCTTCCGAACTAATATACTGTGGACAATAGCTCGTCATCACCAGGATTTGGTTTCCTGCGTCTCAAGCCTTTTCTGAGCCCTTTAAGTGAGCTAAAAGATAAGGAATTATTCATTCCCTGATACGGGTATTCGCAGTTTAAATGAACAGTGCACCCAGATAGTCATTAGATGAGCTATGATTCAAATGCCAGTTACAGCACAGTTGATTTTTCGCGTTTCCTGCCTAAAAAACACCTAACAATTTCCCACAGTTTAAATAGATATCTTTTAATTTTTATATTTGTCTGTGTATTTTAAGATTAAAATAAATTTTTAACTAATTATTATATTAGAAACAATCACTTTTAGCTTGGTTCGCCTAATCTTATTAAACTTATATAAAGCATTTTTAAGGAGTAAAACGAAATTGGGATATTCTCTATTATAAGATAAGCATTTTCGTTTTTAAATAAAAGGCTTCCTCCAGTAATATCCTTATCAGAATTTTATTGTATGAAAACATTATGTTTCAGATATTCTAGCTTCTCATAACTATATCGGTGAGGCTTTTCTTGTTAATCGTTACTAGTGGCTAAATATACGTGTATAATAATTTGAGGAAGGAAAACCTGTGCAAATCTTTTGCCATAAGTACGGGCATTTAGTTCTAAATGTATAGAATAGAAAGTCATATTTTATTCTGACACTCTCCATTTCAAGGACGGCCATTCTTTATAATTCAAGGAAAGAACGCTGAGTTTGATATATAACGATGTAATTTTTCTTTTCCGTCTCGTTGATCGCAAGTACTATCAAGTACTATCGGGGAGTTTCATAAGGCGAATTTCGAGCGTTACATTTGTCTGCATATCCTTTTTGATTCAAGAATTGAAGTCGAGCATGCAGTCGAGAATGAAGTCGAGCATATTAGGTAATTATTACTTGGAATTTATATTTGGGAAGTGGTAAATTATTAACATTAAAAAATATTATTTCAAAATATGTAATTTTGAGAATAAATGCGGGTAAGATGTATGCATACACAGTCGGATGTTTTTTGAAAACTTAGTTTCAAGTTAAAACAAAAAGGACTGAAGGACACGAAGAACAGACAGTTAGTTTACTTATAGATATTATTTGTCAAACTATGACCAACGAAGTAATTTCAGCTTTTCTTCAAATATTTAATCACACTAATCTAGAAATATCCTAAAGCGAAATCGTTCTAAATACATTGTTATCTCTCTATTACAGGTGGAGGCACAATTAAATACATATTTAAAGATTAACCGTGTTACACTAAACGAAAATGTTATTTGGTGAAACAAATCTTTTATTGACATGGTATGAAGAATTTATGAGCATTATATAGTTGGCTATGAACTTCAAAAATAATTGTTGTGCCTTTTCTTCAAGCAATTTCATGAATGGTAAGTAACTAACAAAGTAACTACGTGAAAAATATAATATACAAGTACAACTGCATATAATCGTGCACATAATAAATATATGAAACTGAAAAATCATGCAAGTTAGGTCAGAAACAATTAGATGATTTAAACTTGACGCCACGCTGACATGACGTAAATGGCGCTGAGAAACAACCATCGCTGGGTGAAGCAATTTAAAGCCTGTAATTGCCATGCAGTGTTTAATCTTAGAAGGATCGGGCGGAGTGGCTTTTTGAGAAAAGTGTTTCAAATGATCAACCAAACGTCGCAATTATTGGATTACTTGATAATGTCTGACGAAGATCCTTTTGAATTCGTTTAGAGACAGAATTTCAGATTCAGGGCAGCATCAGAGAACCACGCATATTGTATCAGAAACCGCTAGCTGTTATTCAAGGATTATTTCTGCAGCATGTAGTCTCTCGGAGAAGATCTGAATGGCGAAATTGATTCCCCTGATTTATCAACACTCGATTTTTCTCCTCTATGGGACTATTTGAAGGATAAGATCAACGTGTCTGACCTCACCCTATACAGAAATTGAAAGATTACATCTGGAAGGAAATTCATGCAATTCTAGTGAATTATTTGCGGACGGATAATATCATCGATAATGTAGGACAACCTGCACAGGTGTGCCTTACCTCTAAAGGAACTAACCTAAATGACATTATTTTCAAAAAAAAAAAAAAATTGCTTTCCATGTTTTTTAACAACTGTTTACTTCGTTAGCTTTTCGTTTTCAATTAAAAAGTTCATTTTCAAATAATTAACTATCTAATTATTTCTACCCTACTTTGAGTTATTTTACAACGTTTTAAAATTTTTAGCTGAAATTGGTTTTTGAATTCTGTAAATCTGAACATTTTGCTTCGAATAGCTTTGACACTGTGCTGAGTAATTAAGGTTTATCTTTGTTAAATAATCGCGAAATATTTGACTTCCATTATTGTATTAGGTAATATCATAACAAGTCTTTCTTCCTGCGCCTTAGCATTTTTAATTTCAGAAACTTATTTTAAACATATAATTAATTTGCGTTTCGTATATTAAATTTCGAAACGTTACTAGTTCTTAAACTAGTGGAACTATCCAGAATATTTAATTTAAAGCTGTTTCAGTAATTAAACAGAAATTTGAATACGCAAACGAATTCTTTTTTTGTTTGTTCACTTTTTAAAACGTTTTAATGGCAACGAATTTTCGAGAATTTAGACCGTAATCTGACGTTGTCAGCCCCGCAATACTTTCTTTTGCTACTTCTCATAATATCTCTGTCAATTTCACTAGATTGAAAAATTTCTCTGACGATAATTGACGCATTTTATTGCTATGTTAATTCTCGCTTGTTATGTTTTAATATCGCAATACCTGAAACTACAGTACATCTAACTACCGTATAACAAAAGAGTACTGTAAAAGATCATATCAATGCGTGATTTGGTTTTTAATTCTCACACTCTCTGCGGTCCTTTTTGTAAGCCTAATTATTACTTCAGCATAAGAATACTTTTTATTGGAAGGAACTATTTATAACTGCATATGGCGCTTCTACAGTTTCCTCCGTATATGATGTATACATAGCAGTCAGTTTCTGTTAGGGAGACTCTATAAAGATGTTCCTACTCAGGCAATTAGCCATCGCGTGCTTTTCTATAATAAATTACCGTAACTTACCATTTTGTTCTGAACGTGTAATGAAGATATGCTGTCAGACGATAGGGGGTAGCTTTGAGTTATGATGTACAAGTACCTTTAATGCGTTAGTGATCACACTTCCCATTAAAGCTACGTAAAAAACAATATAAAACTCGTTGTTTCGTGCCATGCTAGAATGTTTTTATGCATTTGTTTTGAATTGTGTTTCTCATCTTATTTTAATTCCTTAATATGATTCTTCGAATGCAAATGCAGAAAATTGTTGTTATATTCAGTGTTTCAAATAGAAAGTTAGTATTTGATTTGAAATAGATGTTTAGATTTTATGAATGAGTATAATGCATCTGGTAAATTTTAAGAATTCGCCGAGAAATTGCAGTTATTTTTGAAATATTATTGACATAAAAATCAAAAACATCATATAGTTATTTGTTCATATAATTATTACTATTTTAGCCAATCCGTGTAACATTTTGCACAACTGAGCTTTATATAAGGACTAGAAATAAAATCTAGGTAAGTTTCTGATTTATTAATATTAACTTAAGTTCTATGTAAATGAAATGTTGCTTTCTAATTTGTATGTATGTTACTCGATCATACAGCATCTTACGAATCTACACGAAATGCTACATGTAGGCAGATAATGAACTGAATCATAGCTTGTAGAGTCATGGAAATGTCTGCCCTCGCTGGGATTCGAACGCCAGGTCTTCCAATCAGAGACGGACAAATCCACTTTTCTATCGGATCAGATCAGAACCATTCCTTCACTAAGCTAAATAAAAGTTCTCCTGTCGATGACCAAAGATACAAGAAAACAAATACTTTGTATGGTTTATTAGCAAACAAATAAAAAAAATTTAATGCAAAATTAGCATAGATAAGCGTAAAATTATCTTTCATAGCAATTTCGTTGAAACTCAATCCAACGTTATTGTATTTTATCATTACCGTTTCCTGCGAAAGCATTAAAAGTACTGGTGCTTGAAAAAAAAGAGGGAAACAGAATTTTTCCTACGTCTCTTAGAGAAACAGAGCAAACTGATGTTTAGGTAGAAAATTTCGAAAACTGAAAAAAAAAAAAAAAAAAAATTAATTGGAGAGCGAATCAGTGAGAGTAATAATTTTGGCTTCCGGTAATTGAAAGTTGTCAAATCGAAGATCTATTGTAAGAATATATTGTATCAATGAATTTTGCTAATGAGAAAGCTCTGGGTAATTTCTTTTTGGAACATTAAATTCCTGCTGACTTTCTGATCAAGCATCTCTCATAATACTTTAGTCTAAATGGTTTGCACACTTTAAAATTTCAACTTTTCTTACGCTTTTAATTTTTAACTAGTCCAAAATCCTTTTGTCATGGTTCAAGCGCTAGATATCTGCAGAGATACATTCTTTAGATACTTCGAAGATGAGTGGAGGCCAAGGATAGTTCCCATAAATTTTCAAAATTTAACATGCTTTGCGTTTTTCACCCATCATCTTATAGAGTGCAAAGAACTATAAATTTGGAGAAATTTTCTGAATTTAGCCGCAAACAGAATTAAACAGAAACTTTATGTCCGAATTCATAAGACCTGGAAAATGTCGTACTTTTTTTAATGGCCAGTCGTTTTATTTAATACTCATTAGCCTTGCGACACCACAAGGGCCGGAAGTGGTGACCATTTTATTATGGAAGCACCTAATAGGTGGCCACCATCGCCTCCTATGAACTAGACGGACAGTTACAACCATGTCTTCTCCTGGATTCGAACCTGAGCCCATCGCCACGGCACTCAGGGTCACTAACCACTATACCAGCTGGACGGTATGCCATGCTTTGTATTTACTAATCCACTAAAATCTTATACAGATATAACACTTTGACTGAAGTCCTGTTAGCTGGATTCTCGCTTAATTTGAAGAATATGAGTGCTCATCTTTACATTTTCATCTCACATTAAATTATTTTCAGAATGAATTTTCTACGTCTTTCACCTGAAATGTCAGAGTTATACTGTGGATTCATTAGGTTAATTGGAAGCAGAAAAAATGAAAAATATGCAACCGCCTTCGCCGGGAATCGAACCACGGACCTCTGGAATACCGGCCCAGCGTGCTACCGTTACACCATGAAGGCACGCTAGGGAAGTGGGAGAAATAACTTATATACTCCCCTTTTTAAAGGGCGACTAGGGTTTTAGGGAACCTAGTCGCCAAATCCTGGGTGAGGAGAATCATCATCCACAATCCTTTTAGTTCGAGCGCCACTTCTAGAGTCATTAGGTTAATTGGAAGCAGAAAAGATGAAAAATATGCAACCACCTTCGTCGGGAATCGAACCACGGATCTCTGGAATACCGGCCCAGCGTGATACCGTTATCCATGAAGGCACGCTAGAGAAGTGGGAGAAATACCTTATAATACTTCTTATCTTTGAAATGTAATGAAAAGCACTTTCTCAATTTTTCTCAGAAAATTTTAGAATAACACAACAACACAGTGGCACAACGTCGTCTTTCAGTTGAGTCCCGGTTCTTCGTTCAGTATTTAGGATGGCCGTATATGTGTCTGGAGGCTCCGAGGAGACTGCACGTCTCCTATTTGCATTGTATATCGGCATAGGAGCCCTGAACCTGGTGTGATGATTTGGGCAGCCATTGGGTACACGAACACACGCATCTTTAGTTCGGATCGACGGTAATTTGAACGCAGATCGGTACATTTCTGACATCTTACGTCCAGCAGTTGTGCCCTTTATTCGGGGCCTGCCAAACGCCATCATCCAATAAGATAATACAAGACCACATGTTGCACGTGTTGTTTTGACTTTCCTCGATACGCAGGGTATGTCACTGCTGTCCTGGCCTGCACAGTCTTCAGTTCTCTCACCTATTGTAAACATCTGGTCATGAGTTTTTAAGAGACTGGCCCGCCACCCCTCGCCAACTAATACGGTCGATGAAGTGTCGCATAGACTTGAAGCAGCGTGGAATGAGTTGCCCTTTTCTTTCATCCAAGCCCAGTTCGACTCCATGCCTAACCAGACAAGGACCGTTTTAGATGCCAAGGGCGGCATCTGTTCCTAATAATTTCGCACCCTTGTATACCCCAAAACTGCTTACAAATTTAGTCATTTTATCTTCATGCTATACTGTTTACGTACAAAAAACATCTTTCTTGTGTTTTCTTTCCTACATGGTGCTGCAATTTTAATAGCTTTAATGGCCAGCAGTGTATTTAATGCCTGCTGCAACTTGAAATTTGCCCAAGGAATTAAAGGCAATATATTAAAAGTACATAAATCTTGATATAAAGTACAGGGGCCATTTTGGCATTAAAATCAAGAATCAAATCAAGTATTAAAATCATGAGAATACTATATTCTCATGCCAATTCGTGGAAATTAGGACTTTCTTAGAGAAAACTACCGGATCGGTTTTAATTAAAACTTTACGAGCAATGATCCGTGAATCTTTATATCGACTATATCAGATAGTGCTCATACAAACAAGATGAGAACTTGTGCACATTCATTTCTCCGTCCACTGTTATTTTACCTCCATTCAAGGAAAACTAAATTTTTACTTTAACACCGATGTCTACAATCACGCAACATGAAGGCCGTACATTTCTTCTTCAACACCCAGTCTGTGATTTCTACCCTTAATTGAAGATATTTGTAGAACACTGACAAAGAAGTTTTCTGCTTTCAGTAATTTCTGATCTTACTAATATGAAGTGATTAAATATTACAATTAATTTTTTATTTGAATTTTACATAAAATTTACAATTAATTTATTTGAGTACATTAATGGTTATTTTTTTTTTCTTTCTGGACTTTAAGTATAAGTTGTTAAAATGTTTACGAAGATGTTAAAAATATCTTAAGCAATACTTTCTTTTCATGAAAGCAACGAATTATCGTACAGTTCAGAATAGCAATAAGTATTTATGTTATTGGTACATATTTATCTCATTGCCTTTGAAGGAATTTATCAATTTTTATAAGTTTTAAGTGTAAGTTTCATCTTTACATATCTTATAAGTTTCCAGATATTGAAGAGGGAAAAAAGACTTTTTGACATGTTATCTCCAAAAATGATCTTATTTCTATATATATTCATGAAAACTTCTATTTTATATCTTCGTCTCACTAGACGGTTCAATTTTACGACAATAAAATGCAGGGAAAAAATGACATCGTGATTTCATCAAAGATCTGAGCAGAAGTGCTTAAAATATATTCAATAATGAATTTTCAATTTTCACTGCACTATAACGATTGTGTCCACATAATGCATGAACTCCTCTACAGTGGTTTAATGAAATCGCAGAGAAGGAGCAGATTTTACACGAATCAAATATTGTAATACAAAATAGACTAATAACGAAGAATATAGACTATCTAATCTACCTTTATAGCACCCACAGCTCAACTACAACGTTATTGGTTATGCACGCAAAACTACTGCAGTGAATTATGAACCGTGCTCATAAAATCCCTTAATTTTTGCAACCGCTGATCGCACACATATACTTCTAATTCTTAAAATTATTTTAGATAAGAAAAATATTCACACTATGGCAGTTTAAAGCTTATGTTACTTCTAAAAAAAGCACAAAACATTTGACTCATATATGACACAAAATGGCTCGGATATTTAATTTTAAAAGCTGAGATAATGTTCAGGGGTATTACACAAATTGAAGAGCGAAATTATTTCTGGTGTTAATAGAATTCACGAATGTGTTATTTGTAACTGAATGCATTGAGTAATATATATTTTAAATGAAGATCTTATTCTCAAATATTTAATAATTCATATTCTAGAAAATAGTAGCAGTGTTTAGTATTGTCTCATAGCCAATTCGTAACCTGATTTGCATAAATTAGAAGTGAAAATGTTTTAGTTCACTGAACTTTTATATGATTATTAGATTGTGATTCTACAATAATGAAACTGAATGGGAGTACTAATAACGCATTTTTATCATATAAAACTTGTAAATTACCCATGTAAAATTTCTTTCAGCATAATATATGCACTACTACTAATACTAGATTTAAGAATGTTGCACTCTAGTAAATCACAAAAGATTATCACTGAAAGAAATTAAACTAAGAATTCACCTTTAAATTGTGCTAAATTTTACTTCAGTTGAAACCCGCTATAACTCCTAGATTTAACAGATTCCCAAATGAATCTTTTTAGTCCCATCAAATTTCCTACAGACTTAAAGTTATTCCATACTGCTAGAGTGAGCTTCTAAACATGTCAAAATGGGATATAGCGAAATGTATGGAGACTTTCGATTGAAGAATTTTTTTTTTGTTATTTTACTCACTTTTTTCAATTTTCTGCAGGTTTTAAAGAACAAATTAACTCTTGATACCATTTATATTTAGTATGATAGCATCCACATTCCATTAGTACAGGAAAACACATTTACATTACAAATTTTAATCTTCATTCCAGAATTTCTGTTTTCTTTCACAAAGCTTCAGATAGAGGTTTAGGATTGATGC